TATATATATATATATATATATATATATATATATATAAAACAATTTCTCTGATGTGGTTAGCATTGCCAAATGAGCAACAGGAACAAATTTTGTAGACAGAATAAATAATATATATTTAAATATGTTATAATATAGAATATTGTTATAAATATGTTATAATGATATATATATTTAAACATACATTTACAATGTTTTAGGTATGAAATCTAGCGCAACCTTGAGCGAAACAGCTGTTTTTACACAGATGCTGGTATTCAAACAAATGACTGTTAGAAATATCAAACTTAATGAGAAAAAAAGGAGTTTATAGTTAAGTAGGAGAGCTAACCCTAATGAATGAATTAATTAATTAATTAAAATAAGTGAATGAATAAATAAATAAATAAATGCACCAAAAAAACTGCAATTACTTTACACTGTGAGAAACTAGCACACAATTTAGAATTATTTGGCTGCAAAATGACTGACCAATCAGAATCAAGCGTTCCCGAGAGGAATGTTATAATACCATATGCAGCTTACAGTAAATACGACATTTTATTTTTAAAAATGTATCTTCAGTGAAGGTCAAATTGCTAATTACAATTATTACTTGTTTTTGATAAATGTTTTGCTCTGCATTTAGAATCGAAAGGATTTGGGACAAAAAAACAGCAATGCTCATTTTATTATTAATACTATTATTATGTTAACTCTAAATAATAAGCACTTACCACTGCTATTGCCGTTTGTTGAATTGCATGTGTTTGGTTGTGTAGTTGCAAATGTCAGGAAAAAAACAAGGACCATTGTGTCTGCAAGAGAAGAAGAGAACATATCAGTAGATTATTTGGAAATATTCATATAATTTAATGTCATTTCTTTAATTAAAGGTGACTGTACATTACAGTCTATTCAAAAACAACAGAGCAGAAAGATACAGTATCACTGCATGGAAAAATGTCTCATTACTTCTCCACTAGATGTCACCAAAGCCATTCAAAAACAGTTCCAGTCCAAACGCTTCAAACCCCAGAGCATCTCTGCACTGACATTTAAAACAGAGCTAGATGCAAACCCATAAACCTCACTTTCACACAGATTAGATATGATTATTTACTTTAATCGTATTTATTTTGGGGATTTTAAGTGCTTATGGTGTTAAGCGGATTAAACTGAGATAAAACATTCTCACATCTGAATCAATCTGTGAATTTAGAGGTGTTAAAAAATAATGTGCATGATTATTTGTTGTTTTCCGTCAGCGTTTAATCTGCATTATTACGTGCTTGACACAAGACTAGATCTCTGCTTTCACTCATGCTTATTACACAAACGG